GTTGAAGTTTCGAGCTTCGAACTGATCGACGCATTAGTAACTATCATATTGTTTCCGCATTCGTTGGTCACATGCACGTTGAATCATGCTAGAAATCTTTCACTTGCACTTCAATCAACTACGTTTTATTACTCTCTAGAATCAGTTAAAGATTTAACTGAGCAACAAACTAAAATTTCAAGAACGTGTTATTGTTATTTTTTCCCATGAGATAACGATATTAAAATGGATGCATGTACAGTCTTTCGAAAATGATCAAGTGGCAAACACAGTGGCAGAGAATCTTAACTGTGCCACTAAAAAGAACCAATTTCCATCCTTCTCACATGATTATAAGTTCATCCCTCATGACCCAATAAATACATAAACGTTAATGGCATTTGATCCTGAAACATCCTTTCTTTGCTGCTCTGTATTCAACGGGTCGGCGAAACAACACTGCTAGGATGCAAGGTAGCGGGTGTTGGAGCAATGACAGTCGGTGCCTGGGTTTCGACCTTTTTGTAAACATATACATCCGAGATAATGGCCTGAAAAATGATACAAATGCCTACAAATGCCATAAAAGCTATTTTCTTGGCCTCCTAGAAAAGGAATAAATAAAAATAAGATGTCAGAATTTTTGGTCTTTGGTGGGGAACAAAGAAAACTTGGATTCAACAGTCAGAGGATTGCAACTACAACCAGTTGTGATACTCCACCAAATAAGCCACAGAGAATTGCGCATTCCCTCCTATCATAGCCTGTGAGTCAAGTAAGGGGCTAAAGAGGAAGCAGTAAGAATGAGAGTGAGGAAAAAATAGGAGTAATGAGGCGGGTGCAGGAGGGGAGGGGGGGGGGATGGTGAAGGCGAGAGCACTGCCACTCACCATAAATATGAATGGGTTCTGATGGGTTCTGGCTACATAACCATCATGGAGTGTTGATAACATGATGATGGGTAACCCTGCAGTGGACTGTTATTGTCTCTTGTCCAGGGGGAAGGTGTGAAGCAACAAGCCTACATGCTTCATATCAATGAAACTGGCCTTGTGGCCTCAGACAGTAAACAGTGACTTTACCCACAGTATATTAATATATGCAAAATTAAGCATAACACCAACATCAAACATGAATTAAGAGAAGAACTTAAGGTCAATATTTCACTTGAAGTGTATATGTTGTGGTTCAATTTTATCCTTGGTTTAAATTATATTTTCCATTGTTTAAATTCTACTATCATACATTACCATAACCAAAAACAATGGAAAACAAAATATAAACCAAGGATAAAATTGAACCACAACACATATCAATTTTGTAGTATTAAATGTCAACTCAAAACCAACCAAAAACAAACAAACAAATTTTTAACTCACAATAACTCCTTTGTGATACCACCAAGTCTAGGAAAAAAAGAAATTTAAATGCATTAATTAATGTGACCAAAAAAAATACACCTGTTCAATTTCAGTACAAACTATGATGAATTCAGCATTTTGTTTCATGTGATTCTCTGCCCAAAACAGATATGAATTCTTGCATATGGTTTCAAATAATTTCATTTAAAAATTGTTTACAAGGTTAAAGCATCAGATTAAGTCACAAGTGAGATACTTACAATAATTCCTCCAATTACTCTACTAACTGAAAAACAAGAAAAGGAAAAACAGTTCAGGAAAACATGTTAGTATTTTAATATGCTCATAAAAACTTCTAGTTTTCTTTATTCATTGCAGTTATGATTTTCTTTGTCATATAATATGGTTAGGATTTCTTCAAATACATAGAAAGTGCAATTTATGGTAGATGTCATAAAAATTCACAGTGCTGTAATTTGTCTATGATTCAGGGACTATAACTGACAGTAATTACTTCATATCTCTTTCCTAATAAACACAGACTTCTATGTTTTTAAGAACTGAAAATCTCTGGTAATGTTTATCTAGAAATTTATCCTGTGGTTGATACACTCCCCTAACCAAAATTTTAACAAGGCAATGTCATCTGGGTGTAAGTCTTCCGATAGATCATAGGTGAGTAATAAGCAAGACATGTGTACAATTAAGCTTGTTAATATATAATACTCACTTAGCATGTTAACAACTATAAGGTAATTCATGGAGTCCTGAGAGGCTTTCACAAAGCTAAGGATGAGTGTAATCTGTTTAAATAAAGACACAAGTCATTTCTCATCATCTCACATCATTCTTTTTCATGAGGATAGAAACCAATTGTATATCTTAAGATAAGGCAAAAAGTGCAATTCTCTGTAATTTCAAGCCAAGTTACCAATCCAGCTTGCAGCTCATCCTACTTTTTGTGGTGTGGAGTGCATATGAGTATTGTGCCCCCTGCCACCCCCTCCCCCCGCCCCTCCCCGACTGGAATACCAGTTTACTACAAGATTCTAACTTCCCATGAGCCAATCTTGTCATGTTTCCCATGGCCAGTTCACCTATTAATTCTCATCTATTGTCCCATGTGGAAAGGCACAATAAGAGTTAAGTGCATTTCCCTCGTAAACAATACAGTGGTCTACTAGTACTCCTGTGTAGGCTCCAGTGAAGTTTGTTCAAGATTTTCAGAAACTTAAATCATCAAGGTGCTATTGGAATCATAATATACATACCAGTACGATTACTGCTGTGACTATGGCAAGAGCCCTTAACATTAACTTCTGCAAATAAAAAGAAATTGGACATTATAACTGGCTTTGTGGTACAAATGATAAAAAGATCAGAGATGAATATTTGTATCTTTCATTTATTGTTGTGTTCGGATACATCATACACAGTAAGTCACAATGCATAATTTATATGCTTACTGTGACTGAAGCTTGTATTCTGGGGTTAGACAATACCTTATGAGAACTGAGTATGCAATTCTGATCACACGTCACCCTCAAAAAAGAAAAAAGGAGGTAACTATATAACACCCCGACTGCCAAGATCCGTGGCGGGTTTCTAAGGGGTTGACAAGTCTAGTCAGCCTCAACGTCCTCAGCGTGCATTCAAGAGTTTGATTTCCAAAACGTCTCAGCGTGAAGTCTAGATTTGTAAAATGTCGCCGTGAGGCAGAGCCTGGCCACTCGTTACAGTTTAGAACAAAAGCAGAGCAGAGGAGGGAGGGGGAAAAGTGTAGGACGGTGGGAAATGTGACCGAAAACCGAAACTTCTTGCAAACAGGAAGTAAATTATGAGCCAGGTAGACTTAATACATGTTTCTTTGTGTTGATAAATTCAAAATCAAAATTCCGTATCTTTGGTTAAAGTGCATGTGTAGGGAAGACAAAGCGAGAAAAAAGTGAGAGAAGGACAAACTAAATAAAATACAAATTATGCGTAAAGAAAAAAAAATTCGTAGAGCGACTTTATCTCTGCTCAGCATTTCCTCCCACTTCTGGAAACGTTTTGTACGATGCGCTGGAAACTTTTAAACTGAACGATCACACGATCGTATAAGTCCAGAGTGAAAACGTAAATTTAAAATACCCTAAAGGTTACCACCTAATTTCAGTATCATACCGTTAAAGGGGAAATCTCGTGGTACAAAGGTGCTGCTTCGGTTGAATCCATTTTGGATTATTTTTTTGGCGTGTTCGATCTGTCATCTGAGCACGAGAATTATCCGAAAATGTCCGGAACCTCTCGGATAAGTTCGTTAAAATTTCGAAATAAACATGGAGGAAGATGGCGGTAAGCAAAGGCTTCTCGATGGAAGACAGCCTTATCCTTCCTCGTTACCTCAGTCTCCTCCAAACGAATACGATAGTCCGCTTTTCCACGAGCAGGGAAAAAGTCCGAAAGAGGTAGGCCTTCATGGTTCGCTGTATGAGAGATAGGTGATTACAAATTGCAACGACCAACTAGCTTGACCGCAACGAATTTTTGCATCATTGTCCTTAGTTTCGTTTCCGTTTTTCATGGCCCTCTGTTATGCTAATATCGATTGCATTATTTGACCAAGTGTTTTTTATTTATTTATTTTTTTTTTTGGATCAGTGAGTATATCGCATCACTTTACAAACGATCTTGCTGCGAGTGCAATACAAAGTAACTGACTAAATTAAAAACAATTGTCCCTGATGAAGTTTTGATAATTCTACCGTTTTTGAAAGAATTTCCAAATGTATATTCCCTCATCGTGACATGTTCAATTGCATCTGATGTACAGCGTAGCGTATCATCATAAAATGCAGTGGCAATCAGATTTAGTATTGTTATAAATAGCCTCGCAGAGTCCAAAGGAGTCGACTCATTTCTTTCTAACAATATTTTGTCCTCTACCACAATGCGTATATTTAACAATTATTCCACGAGCGCGCGTCGGATATGAGATGATAGATA